TTCAAAAAGCTGCTTTGCAATTAAAATATAAAATAAAATTGAATATAAAGTGAGGCATGGAAAAAAGTGTGTGTGTGTATGTGCATATATACAAGCACATACACACAATGCACTTTTACCCTGTTCAGTATTTTCCTTCTCAGAGAACATTCAATAAATAATATACCATGATGTTTGGCTTTCTCATGAAAGTTCCATAGATCTTTTTCTGCTCCCCACTTTACTGGCTTTGAGCAGCCTGGTCTAGTGGAAGGTGTCCCTGCTGCTGGCAGGGGGGTTGGAACTGGATGAGCTTTAAGGTCCCTTCCAACCCAAACCATCCCATGATCCTATGATTTTTTTTTTTCCCCAGTAATAGAATGAAGAAGAAAGTAAAAGTGGCCCATGTTTAGACAGCCAATAACACAGACAAACAGAAAAAGATTATAATTTTTTTTACAAACATTTAGATCATATTGAAAATGAAAGAACACACTGACTCTCAAGGCTTTTAAAGTGAATGTCAGATTTGACGGGAAAGTTGTGGCAAAGTTGCTTAGAAACATTCAGTCTGCTTAGAACAATCATATCAACAACAGAACAGTCAGTCTTACATCTCTAAAAAATTCTACTAAAGATAACCACACCAAAAATCATATAAAATGTGGTTTTCTGTACCAGTTTGTCCATATTTTAAAACAATACTTTATTTTGAATAAGAAGCAAAATTTTTTTTTTCATACAGTGCATGGTATGTTTCTCAACTCAGGTTAAGCATCTAAAATAACAATTGTTATCCCAGAAATTTTTCTTTGCCTAGAATATAGTATGCAAGAAATGAATTATTTCAACTTATCTACAACAAGATTCTTTCTCCTTTCGATGAAGAAAAAGCACATAGGCTTAAAAATTGTCACAAGGACTAAAAATTAACTTAAATATTCAGAAAAACACCATTACTCTGAAGTGATACAAATATCTCAATTTGTTGAGAAAAGGAGAAGGAAACTTCAGCCCGAGAGTTGCAAACTCTTTGTATCATTAAATTACATATAATCCAGAAAACTGTAATTGAAATGATGTGTTCCATCGTGTTTCCCAAATTATGTTGCTGGAAACAATAAAGAACCTATTTGCCATCGCAGTTGATATTCACCCTGTAGCAGCCATGGGAAATACTTCTCGTTAACGGCAAAGTCAGCTACAGCTCTTGGGTAATGTCACTGCACAGAAATCCCAGCTTGATCAAGTTTATTTTCCTTGCACATCTATTGATGTAAAAAGGTTTGACTGCATTTTCCTCTCTATTTTGGTAAAGTTCTCTTAGCTGTTAGATGATTAAGTACACTCTACTGTACTAGGATCAAAAGCATCTGGAAAGGTGGAAGTGAAGAAATGCTCCCTGGGAAAGTTAGCTTAATGCTTGCACTTCAGAGTTGCCCATTATCAACATTTCATAGCGAGTTTCTTTATTTTCAAGTCCCCAAGGTAAGAACAGTAAATTATGACTTGAACTAAACAAGTCACACTTGGCTCCAAAATCAGATTTTCCTACCTCCAGTTTCAGGTCCCAGAGGTGGGCAGAGGAAATCCTGGTCACAGCCAAAGTAGTCATTTTTGGCTCAGAAATAAATTTTCCTGCTCCACTAGAGCCAAACCCTACCATTGAGAGTACCATAGCTTTAAGCAATACTTTAACATTTCTTTTATATATTTTGCTTTAGCAACCTGATTCTTCAGCAATATGAAACTGTTTTTTTTTAAAAAAAACATAGAATTAGGGTTTTGGCCTCTCTTTCAGTATTGTTTATTATCAAGCACACTTCTGATCCTTAATCATTTCTTTCTTCCTAATGCTGACAAAGTGCTTTAGACTCTTCTCTTTGTGAAAATGAGTGAACATAAGATACGATGTGCCTAAAATTTTTAAGTCAGGCAATTGGAAAAGAAGTTCAGTGATACTCTTTAAAGGGTCTACACAAAATAATGTAACTTATAAAAGTATACAGTTACTTAAGGAGACCAAATGCTTGGCATTTAATACCAGAAGTTGTGGCATATATATTCAACACAAACATACAGAGAAAATAAAATTGGACATTATACATCACACTTGACAATGAGTTTCTTGCCCAAGTAGAGACTGATGGCTGGATCCAAAATGCTACAGTTCAAAATATATAACTAAAGTTAATGAATAGTATGTTAGCATCAGGTAACGTGTATATAGGATTACACATCTTTTTCTGTCACATTATTTATGTTCTCTAATATTACAGTTCACTGGTATTAGCATCAAGTTACAAATCATAAAATATATTTAGAAAGCAGGTTGATCATAGACAAGTAATATTAGTGGAGATGAGCCAACATCAAACTGCCAACATAAAATATTGGTCTCCAAAGGTACGATTCTACAAACCCTTATGATTGTCCAGAGTCCTAGAAGTATTAAAGGGATTACTCACACAAGTAAAAGCCATGTGCAGGAGTAAGGGGTTATAGAATTGAGCCTTAACAGGACTTTTATTAACCCAAAAAGCAGACATGCAACTGTATTTTCATGTAGAAGCGGAGCACTTCTGGATTGGTTTAAATCACTAAGAAGTGTATCATTCGTGGATATTCCAAGGGAATTGTTAATCACTTGCATTTTCTATTTTTAAAGGGATGTCATTATTCATCATCTTATCAGTTTCTTCATTCAATATATCTACTAAGCACCTATTGCTATGTAAAAGCAACAGATGTACCTGTGTAATGCAAGTATTCGAACATCAGCTTTCACTTTAAAACCCAACTCTATTCCCACCTCAGTTCCAAAGGATTTAGATCTGATTATAGAAGTACGGTTAGAAGATGAAGTTGCATCATAGGCACAAGTATAATTTCATCCCCTGGCAACTGGGCTTGTGACTTTTGGATTCAACTGCTAATGAAATAGTAATACAGGCAGCCAAACTCCAACTGGCTAGGACAGCAGGTTAAAGCTTAACTACAGACAACCAATCATCTACAATTAATAAAGAATATCTTTTCATTTCAGATAATACTAATTCTATCTGCTATGTAACAGCGTGGTTTATAGCATCCCTTCCAAACTCTACAAGTTTCATGCACTATTTTTTTTTTCCTTATTGACAAATTAATAATCCTTCAGTTCTATGAAGTGTTACTCACTGAAGGTAACTCCAAAGCAATTAGAAGAATTATAATAAAGTGTACAGGAAAAAAACTTTGCTTTCCTTTTTAATGTTCGGGTAAGGTCTGTTGGTCTAGGGGGACTGAGGTAATAAAAACAATCACCCTGTCCTTCTTCACACAACTGAACTCAACTGGTAAAAGAAATTTGCATTAATCCAGAACTTTTTGTGATATCTGATAAACCTAAAGCCTTGGACAAAACAAAACATCATTTAATTTAAAAGGAAGTGCTGCTAGCTGGATATCACTTTGCTCCAGGTTCTTGAGGATTCAACAGTTTTCCCCAGCATTATTGTAAGAGCACTGTCATGCACCAGACAGCTCCTCAGATCTGATGCTAAGAGACTGGTGCGCGCCCTTCTCTCATCTAGAATTGATCACTGCAGTGCTTTGTGCATTACCATATCTAAATATATACACTCAAACCTTTAGCTGCTTGCAATTTGGCAGCTACTGTTTCTATCCCTACTTAAAAATTTAGAGGTTTTCTTAAGTCTAATTAAAAAAAAAAAAAGTTCAACACAACACTGATTTTTTGGAATTCAGTTATCAGTAATGGGATGTGCTGCCTGCGAGTCTATTAGATTACATCCTTGGTTGAACTCAAGGTAAAATCAAATACACTATTTTAATCTTGAGGAACATAATCCACTATGAACATAACTCACCCTTGACACATTCTTTTCAATTCAATTTTGTGCCATTTAGAACACAAAAATACTAACTTCCTGGAAATCATTTGGAGTAAATTGTAAGAGTTCCTGCCATACTACAGACCAAGTATTTCCAAAATATCATATCAGCATATGGTTCTAAACCAAAGCATCTCTAACTCCAGAAAGAGTGCTAATTATTCTTTGAATGTAAAGCTTTTAGTACTAAAGTACAGTGTGATATATTTAGGTAAGACAAAAATTGTTGTGGCTGAATAAGTGCTTCCAGAAAGTTATGCAAGAATTGAAAGAACATTGCACTATGCAGCCACCATGAATATAACCTACTAGTCCTTATAGGATGTGGGTTTTTTCCAGCAAGGTTGTAATTAGACACACACTGCAGGCAACAAAGAGGTCTTTAGTTATTCACTTAAGCTCAGAACACATCTCTAAAACCAAAGCTCAGACTGTTTGGGTTTTCAAGTGCAAATCTAGGATTTTTCTTGTTTGATTTGGCATTACTAATAACCAGAATCCAGCTGTTCCTGGTATTTATTTATTCTCTGATACTTCACTTTGTTTCTTGTGACATACTACAGTCCATGATCCAGTGTGTGAAATACATTCCTTCATTGTATTACTATTTTACACTATAACTATCTTTTATCTTTCCATCTATTTTCTGAAATAGTTTTTTTTGATCAATCTGAATAACTTATTTAGAAGAGTATTTTCCTAATGTTTATCCTAGGCCTTCTCAACCAAATACCTCACCACAGTAAGTCAGGAAGCAACTTAATTCCTGTACAAATGACATAAGCTTTGGTTTATGAAAACAGGAAAGTGAAGATGGAGACACGTGCTATTGCTGGGCAGAGTATGAAGTTAATGAGCACTTTAACAATGCAATAGCCTTCACTAGCAATGCCAGACAAATACATCTAGCATGATATACATTTATTTAGAATGACAGAAATGAGGCCACAAGACATGCTACAGTCTTCCTCCTCTTACCTGTGTAGAAGGAAACTCAAAGAATTCAAACAGGACTGCGGGGAGTCCAAGGATAAACATTTAGAAATAATATTTGTGTGTATTTGGTGTTTTAAGCATGACATAGAAATAAAGTACAACTCTTTCAAATAGGTGTTGATAACCTACCTGAAGATCTTTCACATTTGGAAACGGAATCCCTATGGTTATAACTGCACGGGCATTCTCATCACAGAAATCCAAGCCTTCACTAACTTTTCCTCTGCATACAGCTATAAGGAGCGCTCCATCTTGAACAAACCAGAGAGGAATATACAAATCATTCCCAGGGATAAACTGAGGATCAGAAGAAAGTTTCAACAACATCTTTTAAAGATCTAAACACAGTATAGCATAATACACAGTGTATCAGTCTGGAAAAGCTGAGTGGATATAAAAATATAGACTTCTTCGTTAGAGGGATGAGATTAACTCCGCTTCAATCAATAATATTGTGATTTTGAATATCAACTAGCAAAATAATTTTGCACTATATAATATAGTGGCACCTAATTATGCAAGAATCATATGTACCTACAACAATTTTTTAAATTTTAAACCTTAAATTTTGCACTCCAATAATCATGCTATTTATTGTTTCACATACTATCATTCTTTATTCTCTATACTAGTATTTAAGTATTTTGAGAAGAAATCCTATAGTGGCTGTAATACAAGATGGTAAATCACAGTTATGCAATGTACTTTAAGTCTGATTCTTTGAGAAGCCACCCAGCTGGACACACAACTGCACGTCCTTACACAGGTCACTGCCTTTTGAATATCACTATTAGGATTATGCATCATCCTGTGCTTCCTTATATCCTCATGCAACAATACAAATAGCAGTTAATCTTCCTCATTTATCACAATAATTTATTAAGCTGAGGTTAATTTGTTTATCCATACCTTATTCTAACTGTTAAACACTTAAGAACCTCTTTTTTAAAAAAAATTGAAGAGTCTGTATCAACTATGTCTGAAGAACGTACCCTTCTCTCCTTTACATTTTATTGCATCATAGTATATTTTCAGCAGTTCATCAAAGTCACTCTTTGCCCCTCCTTGAGGCTCTGCAATGACTGTCTTGACCAGCTCCAGGTTTCTCCATAAGCCAGTGTGCATCCAGCGATCTTTTAATTTGTCCAACAGCTGAAAACAAACAGAAAAATCCAGAAGTAATGAAAGATCAATCACCTGAACTGTTCAAACAAAGCACATATTTTAGTGTAATTGTATTATTCAGTTTTTGTATTTATGAATACAAGTTTCCCTGCTGTACACTCTTCCACACCTATGAAACACTTTGTAAACACAGCGGCCACTAATTTTGCTAATTAGAAACAGTGCAGATTTCTGAGCACTCCAGCCAAGATCTCAGGATTGTTATTGTTACAAAATTAATCTGTCCCACGCCCAAATACACAGTTTAAGTGTTACTGTGGAGCAGAACTAACAGTAACTCATTGTTGTCACATTTGAGTTTACAGAGAGAACACTTGCAAATTTATAGTAAACTGTTTACAAGAACCCTTGCACATTCCATGCTCTCAGCATTAAAGATCTGAACTCACTGTGACATTAATATATGGACTGGTTCCTTTTGAGGTACATGTGGTTCAGAGGGGACAAATACCATGTCACCCTTGAATTTTCACTAGCTTTGTTCATGCCTCTATTCAGGGAATCACACTTGCTCACTACTGACATGACATCATCCTCAAGCAAGCACAAAAACACTAAGTGATGAATAGTAGGCATGGTTTCCTACACATACAGATGTTATTGTAGAATAAATCCACTCTTCTAAATGTGTCTGTCCTACTGTTTGCCCCCTTCTCTACCAGCTCTGTCATTTCCTGGCAGCATCCTGTCTCTAATCTCTTTTTATATAAAAGGTTGTAATACTATGACCAAGCAATGACTGTCCATCTTGCCATCCACAGCCTGCCACTATGCCTTCAGTTCTTGGATATGATATGGAGATAATTCTGGTAAAGAAAAGAATCAAACAAATTATACCTCTAAGTACATCCATTTGGGACCTGTGAGAGCTGCCTGTGGCTGTAATATTATTAGCTTTCCAGATTTCATTCTTCCTTCTGTGAAACTAATGTCTGCCTGGGCATTCACTCAGCAACCTATGCTAAATCCACCTCTAGCACTGCCTGCTGTTCACCACGCATGACAAAAGGAGGCCAGTAAGATAATATAGACAGGATGTATTGGGGTATAACTGAATTTGACATTTACATACATAAAACTATCCATGCTTTGACTTCTAAGGGTCCCTTGCCCCTGACTTTCTCCTCCTCCTATCATTTCAGCTACTATTTTCCCTGAACACACCCTTATGAAGTGTTCTTAGCAGAAAAATTGTTTCTTAATTTGAGAGAACCAAAGTCTACTGACGGCCTCAGAAAGGGTAAGACTCCTTACAAAAATTACTTAATCCCTCAATTCCATTTCAATTCTATTTCTCTTACATTTGAAAGAAGTATAACTTACATTCATAGTTGGCAGTAGAAAATCTTCTTCCAAATTCTTAAGAAAACACCTTTTCTCTTTTGTAGATTACCTAGCCCCTCCAGGCAAGTACCTGAGACCATAACAGGTTCAGATTTCTTGTTTAATTGACAGCAATCATCACAACAGAAAAAAAAGAAAAATCTAGATTTTTGATGGAAATGGGCGAATTATTCACAAAAATCTTTGGCAGGAATGGAATAATTCATTTAATTCACACAAAAGCTCCTGCCTCTTCTATTTAATGGAGTTTGCTAGATATGGGAGCTTTCTTGTACACAGGAAACTGTGCACAAACACAAAATAGCCATGCTATAGACACAGATGCTAAAACAATGAGAATTACGGACATATCTGAATACAAATAAATAAAATACAGAACACGTGCCTCATAAGAGCTAGGAATCAAGTGCAGGTTTCTCATAAAAAAATATTTCACTTTGGGTTGTGAAAGTACAAATGAGAGCAAAATATGATGCCAGGAATCACAGGAAGCAACCATTAATGCCCACAGTCAGTCACTTTTTCTACCCAAGGGAATAATAGTTTCTGCAGTAGAAGGTAGTCTGTGTATATTTTATTAAATCCCTTAAAAATGGATTCTCAAATGGTTTATTAACAAATGGTCTTCCTCCAGGAGAGCAGAAAATCTTGTTAGAAAGAACCTGTCATCTTCCCATGCACTGAAGGATGTTTACTTCGATATCTTTTTCCTTTCTGCAATTTAAAGACACCTGTAAGCTATGATCCACAGAAACTATGAGCTCAGTGTTTAGATTCACCATTCATCCTTGTCAGTATCCCCTTTTTAGGCAGCTTTTGAAGCACTCTTGAAGTTTGGGAACGGGGGAAGCTCTTTTCTCAACATCTCTTGCCATTATGTTGCACTCCTATGCAAAATCCTCTCGTCCTGTGTCCACGAAGGAAAAGCTTTGCCCCTTTGCATTTGCCACTTTGTTTTATACAGTGCCAAAAACTGCATTAGGGGTTTCCCATGTCATGAAGCAAGGCCAAAGATTTGTTTAATGTATTTTACCCTAAGGCAAGTTCATTGTAATTTCCAGCATCTTAACGAAGTGGAAAAGTGAACTTGCAGCAAGCAAGTTGCTGGGGATGCACTTTTTCTGCAGTATTCATTACCTCCAGACAGTGATTTTTGAAGTAGCAATTACCTGAGATGAGGGAGGGTCTAACAGAAAACACTGTAACATGATGAGATCCTTATTCTGGTTTACAGTTCCCTAGCTCTTCTCCTGCTGCAAACACCTGCTACTAAATTTCTTTACATAGATTCTGGTAATGAATGGATTGGACCTTGCCAGCAGAGTAAAAAGGCATCACAGAAATAATCCTTCCATCAAAAATTTCTTGGGAAGCAATGGAACATTTAAAAATACGAACGCGTGTTCAAGAACAATACAGGACAAAAAGGATAATGACCTAAGGAGCACTTGACAGCAGTAGAATAACTCTGGCTTTATTGGTTAGTTTAACAACTATTAACTATTTAATAATATCTTTCAGTTACAATTGAATTGTATATTCTAGTTCACCCTTAAAACTATATGTTGTCTTTTTACCCATACATTTATATAATAACTGAACAAAAGGCATTCAAAGGTGCACAAAATTTACACAAATATCTCTTAAAAGTCTGCCATTATACACTAAAAAAAACCAAACCCACTTCTCCAAATTTTTGAATTTTTTCATACTATTTCTAAGTAATTTTTTTTTTTAAATTATATAAAATTACACTTTTCATTATTATTCAGATACAAAGGATAGCTGGGGGGGAAGAAAGGAAACAGCCATTAGGTTTTTCTTAATAAAAATCAGAGTATTGGCACCACTGTTAGTGCAAAAAGTCAGAGATTCCCAAGGGACTAACATTGATCTAAAAGCCTTTTCCCATGCAGAGCTCTTCATGTGTTTGCTACCAGAATTTTCTTTTTGAATAAGCACTGCTTCAAATCAAAGTGTCTCTCCAATGGGCTGGAAACGTGTTTGAAGGGTCAAATAGAAGTTCTACATGCAGTCAGCATAAAACTTCAGAAATGGAAAACAAGTATCTACGGCCAACCCGGAGGCTGAGCAACAGGACTTACTGCACTAGACTTTGTTTAGGTAGAACGAGGAGGGCTATGCTACACTTGGGACTAAAAGGGTAGCCACTTGCAGGAAAGAAGGTTCTCATCCAATCCACCGAGGTGTAAAAGTGACACATGAAGACACAGCGCTGCTATAATGATGTACTCTTGTATCATCTTTTGAGTACAGCCCATTAATGTACATTCTGCACACGGACACCAAAATTCTGCATTTACACAGAGTGAGGAAAATGTATGGTGTCAGTTTTAGAAAAGGCTAAAAGTTTCTAATACAAACATTTTCCCTTCAATTTCAAGGTTGAGTTATGTGGTAATATGTTGGGGTTTTTTTAAATGTAACATAGACACATGCATCTTAAGATCATTTCCAGTTATGGTCTGTAAAATCTGAGGTTTCTAGAGAAACACCAAATGGAAAGGACTGGCTGAGGCCATTCCCTGCTGAATACCTACAAATTATTACAGAAAGTATTTCCAAAGGGAATCTAGAGTAACCTGGAACACTACAAACATGTAGATTAGGGACCACAATCATGGAATAACAGCATCCCCCAAAGCTCTAGCAGGTGGAGAAGAACATACCCTTTACATCTACAAAACTGACAGACATCATGTTATTTTCCTAGTACACAGACTTGGGAAATTACAGATTATCTCAAGATCATTAAAGAGTTTCTTTTTCTATATAACTTTGGAACTGTTACAGATTTTTTCTTTTTTAACTTTGCAATACCAAAAACATTTTCAGAAGCTGCAGATGTATGGGGGGTATGTACCCTGTGCACCTCCGAAGGCAATTCCACTTGCCTAGAAATCTAGCTGGGATGAGGGAACAAAACTAAAACTTACTCATTTAAATAAAACAATAAAACTTTTCCTGGTGCTCTAATTTTAAAACTAGTGCTTCTTCTACTCTCATCTGAGTCATACTTCAACTTCTGAAAATGAAACAGGTATCCCTGCGTATTTTAAACATACATTAGTAAGGTCTCACACATTTCCAAAGTATGCAACACTGTGTTACCAGCATTTGAATTTCAGTCACACATTAAAAAAAAGAGAAAAAATACATCATAAAATAGACCATGGGAGACACAAAACTGCAACTGATGGATACTGTGATTCAGTAACCAAAAAACTGAGTAGCCTAAAGACAGTACTCCAAACATCTAACAATCAAACTTAACATTATTAAATACTTTTTGCTCTTTGTAAAGTTTTTTAATTAAAGTTTTTAATCTATCCTTAAGAATGTGCAGGAACCAGTTGAAGTCTTTTTAAAAGTCTACTCTTGAAGACAGACCTCACCAGCAGTGTGCCTCATATTTTAAATACCTTTTCTTTAAATTTTATACTAGATGTAAATATCAGTTATACCTTGTTCAGTAACAGAAGACATTAATTTCTGTATCTTTCTCCTCTTTCACTGGTCTCATAAACTCTGTTCTGCTTTAAGACATGGGATAACTCAGTCCTTCAGTGAGTGCTTTTATCTTATCTGAGCAACAGGAGGAG